AGATTCATGGAGACAATTAGTCCAAGTGAGTGGTATACCACGCGTTCCTCAGCCTATACGACTATGAGACCAGAAGAACTAGATGGTGCCTAGCTACCACTGTCAACCACTTGGAGGGGGATCTATATAGAAGATCCTGCATAGAGTGGGAGAACAAGGTGAAACGAAACTCAAAATCATTAAAAAATAAAAGGGGTTCGGGACCAGGTTTTCTGGTCTGATAGAGCCTGATGGAACTACTGAGACTATGGCTCCTAGCTGCCCTTCAGCTCTGGAATTCAACCCACTCCTGTGGCCTCCAGCCAAACAAAAGACATATGAGCTGAACCTTTACATTAGGTAGATACACTTCTTGGAGAGAACAATCATGGGAGAATAGAAAGGCTGTATGCACAGGGAGACAGCTCAGGGGCCAGAAGGACACAGGGAAGAGGTAACTATGGGGAGGAAGTGGGAGGGGAGCTGTTTCATTGTGGAAAATTGTAGTCAATGTCATGAGACAAAGTGTATGTGAGCTGCTGTATGGAAAGTGAATTTGTTCTGTAAACTTTCACCCAAACCACAATAAAAAAATAAATAAATAAACTGATGAGAGAGAAGCAAATACTGCTCACAAAACAATTGTCCACTGTGTAAGGGAGGAAAGCACAGTCTATTGCCACAAGAAAGGTATTAAGAGAAGATAGATCATGGAAGGAAACAGGTAATCCAAGGCTGACAACATAGACAAGAGTCCTGGTGATGTTGAGACATACAGGTTTCAGAATGCATGCTTAACAGGAATATGCAACAGAAACAAATCTTTCTAGTTTTTCAATTGTTAAATGAAAAGAGTTCCGTAAGGTAAGGTAAGGGAGAGTAGTTTTTAATGTACACGGACAAAAAATGGATACGAAGAGGACTAACATAAGACTTCTTTTTAATATATGCATGATACAAATATCTTACTTTGTTAGTGAGGAAATTTTAAAAACATGTTTTCTAAAACATGTGCATAGGTCAAATTTTATATAATCATGCAGCTCTAAAATAAAAATAGACTCAGTGCTCAATTAGCATTTCTCACTGGAACTATGATTTTAAGCAATTAATCACCTTCTCATGAATCAGAAATAGACTATCACTGTTAAAGAAGAATGCAGCATTCCTAGAGAATAGGGTGGAGATGAAGTTATTGTGGAGGGAAGGATAATAAAGAAAATAGATCTAGTTCTTGGAGATTTCTCTAGGAGGTAAATGTAGGCAAGCTAAAGCATAGTACCTAAGGCACTTGACTGCTAACCAAAAAGCTGGCGGTTCAAACCCATCAGCCACTCCTTGGAAGGAAGATGGGGCAATCTACTTCCGTAGTGATACTGCCTCGGAAACCCAAGGAGG